ATGACCGTTTAATCCAGAGAAAAGCAGGTTTACGCTATCGCTTAGCGGGCTGCGATGCGCGCTCCCGCGAGTGCAATCAGATTCTTCTTCTTCTTGTTTTACTGGCGTCTTGCAACCAAATGAAGCATTATCGCCACCTACTTGATCTTATTTATGTTTCCTTAAATCCTTATGTTTAGTCCAGTTTGTTGAAGATAAGATGACATGATTTTAAGTACTGTCATTCTGGATTTATTTGAGAAGATATTTTTAATGTCCAGTTGTTTGATTCCTTCATGTTCCAGTTAACACAAATGTGCCCCCGCCCCTTCAGCAGACACTCTGGTGTACCCCTTCACAATTGTAAGTGACCACAGACAGTGCCACAGACAGGAGGCCTCTGATTGGTCAAATCTACATCCGTTCTACACTATGCGTATTTCCTGGTTGGTACCTTACCGGCTTGAATGAAGCAGAATGATGAAATTTTTCCACCTGGATCCCCGCTCTTTTTCATCCTCATGTCCCTCCATTGTCGTACAAACTTGCCACCACTTCCTCACTGCCTCGGCCGTATCTAGACCCACATCTAGTTCCTGATTTGTGGAGTGGAATAACATACCGCCGACCACACTTAAAAAATGGGCATAAACCAAAAATATCTGCATCGGAACTGCGGCACACTGCTGCGGGAGTATAACCAGACCTTAAGAGTCAGTAAACTTGCCAGTATATACCGGTATTGAGTGCTACTGAATTGTCTGTTTAATCTCTGATATTATTAATATAACATTATAAGGTCAGCCTTTAAATAACACCTCATGGTCATTTTCCCCCTTTGACAGTGAATGAATCTACTTCATTCTTCATAAGCATTGTTTTTTCCCCTCCTGTTTCCTAAATTCCCATAATTTACACAAAAACAGGTTAAAATGTTCAGCGCTCCGATCTTAGCTGTTCCCAGAGCAGATCCAAACACTTGCCAAAGCTCCCAAAAGACAAACAATATCTAAACGACAATGCTGACATTCTGCCTATGAATTCAAGACGACAAATAGAAAAAAATCCTTGATTTATCTCCATTAGTCACGTAAAGCAGACCAGGAGACTTTTCTACATTCATTTATTATTTGTAGTAACAGCTACAGCAACCACATTATTTTTTTAAGCTTCTCATTAGAGCTCCTGTATTTGTGCATCTGAAGTGAACCCCAAAGTGAACCCATGAATAAATTGTTGGGAGAAAAATCCCCCTAAACTACATAAAATAGTTACTGTAAACAGGAAGCTACAATCTCTGTCACTTTGAGGGTTTTGAGATTCAAATTATTTTATCCTTACCAGATTATAAAGTTATTCAGCTGTAACATTAAGTGCAGAATTTCTAACCAATCTGCCAATTAGTTTTTTGTCAAATAAACCCTTGTATAAAAAAAAAAATGTCTGAGGTCAAAGGTTTTAAATAAAAAGAAGTGCAGTACTTCTAGGCTAAGAATCAATTGAGATGTCTTCGGTTTCCAGATTATAAAGTTATTTAGTTCTAACATTAGGTGCAGAAATTCCCACCACAATGTCATTTTCCATCAGCTTAGAAGTATGGAAACCCCTTGCATTAAAAAAAATAACATTCTGAGCTCATAGATTTCAAATTTAAAGTAGTTGACTACTTCTCAATTAAAACTCTTGATTTCTGATCACAAGTAATCTTAGAATGGAGGATGGGATGGATAATGTAATGTTCGTGATGCTCCAGTTGCAATGTACAAAACAACTGGCCTTCAGCTCTCAACATGTCTCATAGTTGCTTAAGAAAACATAAGCCTCAATTTACTCATCTGTCTAAAATCTGATCCACATATATGCTGAAAAAAATGGATCAGGGTTCCACTATTGAAGTCCAGGCATAATTTGTCCTCCACTCTTTAGATGTGTCTGCTTCCAAGCACCTGAATCAAATGGCTGAATTATCTCCTCAGTGTGTCGTCACGACTCCTCCTGAATAAAATTAAGAATAAGAACACTTAGACTAAACCGCAATTCTTTTTGTTAAAAGGGAGTTTTACCTCTCCACTGTTGCTGCATCATCATACATTCAGTTTATTTCTATAGTACCCATAATCGACACATACTGTAGTGGTTAGGGGATTGCACTTGGAATCCTGACGTTCTGAGTTCAAGCCCCACTCCCACAAACTGCTACTCTGGCTCCCTGAGCAAGACCCTTAACCCGCACACTGCTCCCTGGGCACTGCACAATGGGGGTGGTGATGGGTTAAATGCAGAGAGTTAATTTCCTTGCTCTGTACTTGTGACAGTGTAATGACAATAAAATGCATGCTGGGGAAAAAAATTAAGCACTTTTCTTTTAATGGCTCAGTTTCTCCTCTGACTCCAACCAGCGGTTTAGGGGGAAAAAGTTACTTCTTCAGGTTTCACCTGTTCTTCTCTCTTTTCAGCAAATTAATCAGGATCTAAACATCCAGCTACTGAAAGACGGCTACCGTCTCGACGAGATCCCGGATGATGAGGACCTTGACCTGATCCCGCCCAAATCAGTCAACCCCACCTGCATGTGCTGCCAGGCGACCTCCTCCACAACCTGTCAAATCCAGTAACCCTCATACCGCTATTCTCATTCCTTACAAACTTAACCCCGCCGTCTTCATCCGCTGTGACTTTACCTCGCCGCCAGAGTGGCAAAAGTGAGGCATTTATAGAATATCGTCATGACAGTGAAGTGCTATGATGGTTAGGTAAATAATCACACTTACAACTAAAAACTTTGGTACAAAATCTAGTGCAGTAAAGTAAGGAATGGTAAAAGCAGTAAAGTGATGGATTCCTCCTATGGCAGGACGAACACTTCTGTTTGAGCACTCCTCCTCTGGTCAGACATGATGTGACCCCCCTTGTATTAGATCATAGACAGGAAGAGGTCAGTTGCTGCTGTGAAAGGGTTTCCTGTCCCCTGACCTGTTGCAAACATTATTATTACTGCTGATTAAACTGTCCTGATGTGGTTTGCCTTGATCTATTTTCCCTGCTTATTTTAATGCATTAACTGTATGGAATTAAGGGATAAGTGATGGTTTACCTGGTTATGAGAAATGTGGAATGTAGTCTTTCTAATCCCAAAATAGAGAATTTCTGGTACTGTATCCTTAGTACTGTACAGGGTTGTTATGTAGCACAGGTCACATCCTTGCACACGTTAACATCAACATTTCCTCTTTCTCTGCAATGGCCTAGTAAGATGTCAAATTAAGGAGTTCATGGATGAATGTTTGAATGGCTGTAGGACAAACAGCATAGAGGTACTGAGGAATATTTAAAGCACGCAGATTTTGTCCATTTAATCTTCAGTTGTGCAATCATACGCTGCTGTTATGGCACAAGTTTGTTTCTTTTTATTTTATTTTGCACTTTTATTTTAGGCTTCATGTACTCATATCATTATGTCCTGCACTATATGTGAAAGTGGCTTACTTAAAAAATACAGGCTTCAGACAAGCCTGAAGGGAAAGTTATAAATTTTGACTGTGATTCTCTGTTTTCCACTTTGTCTTTCTAAATTATTTACATCCCTTGGATTTTTGCACATAAGTGTGTATTATTTTATCTAAATGTAAAAGATCAACACAATGTGGGTCATAATTAGGAAGCAGAATACAAGGAATACTTAGTATTCTTAATTTCTTACAAATAAGAATCTCAAAAATGTTGAGTGCATCCAGTAATTCTTTACATTAGCTCATGGGAATTCCATTTAGAGTTTTATCTTAAAAATCTAAATTTAATTCTTGTTTGTGATTCTCAATTGGAATTAGTAATCTGTAACATCCATATGGATTATGTGTTCCGTATGAAAGTGTTAATTTTCCACCCCACAAATATATTTGCATACTGTACTTCTTTTGGAGATTACAATCTTTGTCTTGTTTCTCTCACCTGAGCTGTGGATCCTTGAAGCTCTGTTAAATGTACTTATACATCTCTTCTTTAAACTTCTCTAATTATTTATTTATTTTACTTTTATTTTACCAGGAAAAAAAATCCCATTGAGATTAAAAACCTCTTTTTCAAGGGAGTCCTGGCCAAGAGGCAGCAAAGTTACATATTAAACAGAGATACATTCAATTAAATTACAGATATCTACAAATGTATTCCTGGTCTTTCCTATTAAGGAACATAGTGGGAAAATTGGTATAAGTCTATTCAATAATCTCACTGCTTTATATTTAGGAGTATCTCAGAAAAGGAGGCTGAATACAAATGCACTCCACAATGTTGAGAAATGTATTGTTTTTCTACCAATTCCCAACTATGTACTTATTCTGTGTTGATCAGTCACATTTAAATCTAGTAATGCATATGGAATTTTGTGATTTGATTTAATAAAAAGTAAAAAGGGATTAAACAAATACTTTTTGCAAGGTACTGTGCAGTTTAAAGCCAAAGGAACTAAAGGAGGGAGGTTCAAATAGAATTTAAATATTGAGTTTGTTGAGTTAAAGAATCTGGTTTAGTGTCACAAAATGATCACTGGACGCTGCCAATTATGAAGGAAAACACATGATCCTAGAACAGGAAGAGTCTCTCTTCTCTTATATGTGCATGTGTACAAAGCTAGGATGCCACAACATGTAAGACAATGAAACTGAACCTTATGTAGATTGTAGAAAACATTCTGTAATCCTCCATCAAGGATGGTTGACTCAGAACACCAGTATCCTTTATTTACAAACCTCTCTTATCTGATTTAATTGTTAAATGCAAATATAGTATGCCTTAAAGATGGAGAAGTTTAAAAGCTGTTTTAATCGTTTTTGGTTTATTTGTGAGATGAAATTATTTTTTTTAACATGTACTCTTTTTTTTTTTGAGTTTCCTTTTTTATGACTTTTACATATTGTAAACAGTTCCATTATAGTATTTACCAATGTTAATGTAATGTGCAGTGTATGAAGGTGATTAATAAACACTAAGCAAATGGAAAACTCTGCTCAGAATTACAGTTTGAATATCTCTCTTTAATGATGCCTATAAAACGGTGTAAATGGATGAAAAAAGGAGCAACAAGTAAATATTTGAAGGGAAATAAAAGGAAATTTTAATAACGTCGAGAAGTAATTATTACACGGTTGTGTGTCTTGCAATAACACGAGGCTTGCGCTGATAGTTCCTGATTACAGAAGCATCAGGGGAAAAAAAGCTTTCACCTGAAAGGCACCTGAATCTAATCACAGTTATCTTAATGCATCATAAAAAACAAAACAGTATTTCACCCAGCAAACATATACAATGAAAGGAGACAAGTATAAAAATTAAGATTAAACATGTAGTGATTTTAATAAGACCTCTCACTTTGTTAGTAGTTGGTATTATAAAGGACAGCCAGTCAAGCAAAAGAAATACAGACATGCTACCTGATGAAATACAATCGCTCTCAACGAAGAAATGAAGGCAGTCATCAAAGTGCTACAAAAAATAATAAAACAAGAGTCTTTTTTTCTGAGGATTATGGGAAATGTTGTGCTTCCATGTCACCACATGGGGGTGTGATATGGTCAGACATGACCAAAACATCATGAGTCACTTATAAAAACCATGTCACAAACAAAACAATGTACAGTTTTCAATGTGCAGCCACTGGCACAGTTGGTATTAGTGACAGTCTCTGATCTGTTGATTTGTAAAGTGTTTCTGAGAAGATGCAACATGAAGAATATGAAAAACTAAAGTCCATTCAAGCAGTATCCCCCCCCAAAACCCTCCCAGAGATTAAAATGTCGACATTCTCCTCTGCTACAAAGGCACACACTGAAAAAACCATCATGGTCTGGAAAATAAAAAACAAGCAAACATTTTCTTTAATGATAATAACTTCAGATTTTAAAAGGCTTTACCCTGTTATGTTTTTTTGCACCTCTAAGACAATCAAAGTCTGTATGAAACAACACAAATGTTGTAGTTGGATCCCCCTGCCATGAGATTAATGAAGTATTGTAAATATAGTCATATTTTCTCGTGCATGTATTTGCAAAGTTCCTCATTGCATAAAAAACATTTCAGTTTAAGCAGCTTAAAGCACAGCTGAAGTCCGTAGCCAAATATACTAAATTAAATAAGTAAGTTCTGCATCTCTATATATTTTAACCTTTTTTATTACACTCTAATAACAACTATTCACACTATTCAGAGTCTATATCCTGTCTGTTTAATATATTTACAAGGTAATACTGCTGTATAGTGCATTCACATTGTATTAGATGGAAAAGTAACTGTAAAATAAATTCTGTAGCAATCTTCATTATGGATTTTAGGACAATTTCCAAAAGCTCAAATCTCACTAAGATTTGATCCATTGCAAGATGCTGTAGCTGATGTTTGGCTGCTGACTTCATCTTTAAATGGAACGTGATTTAGCAAGTGGAGTTTCTAAGAGCAATACTGTTTATGTCCTTTTTTTTATTTGAGATTCTTTGAGTAAAAAATAAAAATAAAATAAAGAAAAAGGAAAAAAATAACTAGACATCCCTGTCAGACCCTGAACAACCCTTAATAAATACAAATTATCTCAGGGAATGAGTCAGTGGACTCCTAGTTAAATGATAATCAGTTGCACACGTGAAAGGAAAGTCCCTGAATATTTGTCTGGCTGACTGAGATTCATGTGGAGGTATGTCAGGGTATGTTACCTTCTACTAAACACCGTTCTGAAAAATATTATATGGACAGAGACAGTAGGTGTTTCACATTCCTGCAGGGCTTTGGTCCCCAGAGTCAGAGGAGGACATGGACATGGAGCAGCGCCGTCTCTTGGCAGCGCTGGAGCCCTGCAACATGCTGGGATGGAAACCCACATGTCGGCGGGCATGTTTGGTCAAGTGGTCGCTCCTCATGAAGCACTTTTCACACAGCGGACAGTTGAAGCGCTTCTCGCCTGTGTGCGTGCGGTAGTGGCGCGTAAGCTCGTCCGATCGGGAGAATTTCTTGCTGCATTCCGGCCAGGTGCATTTGAAGGGCCGTTCCCCTAAGAAAACAAAAACATATTTTATATATACATATTGTTTTAAAAGTAATCTAGTTAGCTCATTCTTAGTAGAATAAGTTCACAGGCAAAAGTTACATTTAAATTTTCTTTTTTTCAGTGCTTAAAAGCAAAACTGTTAATGCCATCCATAAGATTGTTATCACATAATTTATAGCCCCTTTGATCTGAAAAAATATCCCCCAATCAAGTAAATAAGAATAAAACAAAAATACTGCTAAAACTATCCTCCACAAGGCTTACTTCTAAATATAGCCTTTTATTAAGAGACCAAAATGAAAAATGAGGATGTTTACATGACTGATAATAGAATATATTAATTGTCTGCAGTATACAACCTTAAATCTAAGACAGCATTAACAATAGTTGATATTTTCTGCATTAATAATATTATATTAAAGTTGATACATTCACTGATAAACAGTATATATTGTCATGTATGTCCTTTTACTAAAATGCCAACCAGTCCTGGGTTTCAATCTTGGCCTTGAGTCTGTCTGCATGAAGCTTACATGTTATCCTAGAGTGAAGTCCAAAGGCATGGCTGAAGTGGTGGTTCTAGACCAATTTACCAGGTGGACCTTTTTTTATAGGGACATGGAGCAAAATAAAAAAAGACAGGGTAATGGTTCATCATGTATTACAGCCAAATGGCACTCACAGATCAAGAGACCTTGATGTAGCAGATGAAGATTGTAATCCTATTACAATACGACCGAAGCTAAAGGTGCAACACCTTATTTATAAATTTTTTTTAAAGTAAACCTGCTAATTAAAAATGCCCAATCAGAGCCAAGTTAATTTATAAGAAAGTTTAAACCTGGTGGATTTAAAGAGGTTAAATATATCTGTGCCAACACAAAACCTACAAAACTGATTTGGTATTATGTCTTCAGCAGAGAGGCTATAACAGGGGCCGGCGTTCTGTCAGAACAGCGTACGCTCTCAGATCAGCATACGTCGTTCTAATATGCATGTGCGCACATGCACAGCAAAGAATTATTCCCACATTCTTCAGGAAGAAACAGCCTAACCACGCCAATCACAAATTAACTGGTGAGAAAGGTACAGCAGCACAGGCCGGTTAGCTCAGTTGGTTAGAGCGTGGTGCTAATAACGCCAAGGTCGCGGGTTCGATCCCCGTACGGGCCATCATTATCCCACTATTGCAGGACAATATATAACATTTTTCTTTTCTACACCGCCACCATGGACTCTTCTCCCTGCTGCCATCTGGGAACAGACTTTACAGTATTCAATGCAGGTCCAGCTGTTCCGAAACATCGTCTTCCCCAACGCCATAAGACAGCTGAACTGTTGAGAAAACTCTAAATCATGTCACACACTCTGCATCACACTGACAATACCAAACCAAAATACTGCATATCTGCACCATATATATATTTAATGCTCTGAACTTCCATTTCAATGTGGGTTTTTTTGCACCATGTCTCTTCTCCGACACTGTTCAAATTTGATCACTGCTGCACTTTATGAAAATGCTCTGAAAGCTGTACAAAAAGAAATGTTGTTTTGCAAACATTATGTATACAAAATGACAATAAAAGATGTCTAAGTGTAAGTGAATTGCAGCAGCAGTGTAGTGACCAACAAAAACTCTTTTAATTTAACTTTTAAAAAAGAAATCAAATTTGATTTTACTGTGATTTCTTGGATGCAGAAAGGGCCAGACATCACTGAAGTTCCCGGGATGTTGAGAGAAGAAGACTCTATAGCTAAAACCATATTAGTCTATATTAATTTTGAATAAGTTACTTTAGTAGTAAAAAAACTTGGTGCAAGAATTGTAATTTGGTTGGATTTTGTTTTAAAATTTAAAATCATAGAAAACATTGGCTGTGGTTTACGTTGTGACTCAGAATTAATTTAGGTTAGATAAAAACTAAGCGTATGCCGATTTGATAGCATATACTGATCTGACAGAACCCCTGCTCCAGCTCTAGCCCCTTGACCCTGTTGGCCCCCTATTTAGAACTGCACAAGACTTAAAGGAATCATAAAATGCAAAACCGAGTTTACATTGTCATAGATGAATAATGATAGTTCAGTGGGTGAAATGGACGTACAGAGAAGTTCAAACCCCATCAACGCCTCCTTTCACTGCAAATCTCACTATTTTAAACTTCCACCATAAAACGGGTGAATCCAAGCAAAGCCCCGAATGGACGTAAATTTGGGGATGTTGCCTTATTTGGTTCTGGCCTGTACTTTTGTCACGCCCCGAAATTGACATACAGATCAGCCCACTGGTTCACGGCCCGAGAGCATGAATAGAGGTAGATGTAAGACACTAGTTTAGCTGTTTAGCCTACAGTTGGGTTTACTTATACCAGAATTAAAAAGCAGGCAGTTTCTCTATTGAAAATGAGCCAGAACCATGGGCATAAATGCAGTGTTCCTAGCTGCATAGAGAAAGGGGAAAAGAAAGTGGGTGGGGGCGCCGGTGTCCAGACTACCCTCACCGGGTCGGATTTGGTCGCTCTGTCCCCGGCTGGGTCCCTGCCCCCGTCCGCCGGGGTTCCCGGACCACCCCCAGAGCTGACAGCTCAGTTCTGTTGCACTGTACTCTACCAAAATCCATTTTGAAATTCCCCCCCAGACATTTTTCTAGGTATGAAAAGCAGGACATGTCCGGGAAAATAAGGACGTCTGGTCATACTACCATATCACCAATTTGATGTTTCAGTGAGTGAGTACTGGTTGCTATGATGCATCTTTGCTCAGCAGCTTCACTCATTGTAAACCAACCAATCAGCGCACAGCTCATCTAAATATTCATGAGCATACCATAAAAGGAAGAAAACCTGTCAT